TACTCGTTCTTATGGTTTGTGTGACGTCGCGTGCGTTAGTAGTTTTTTCTTTCCGTCCGTACGTTGGCCTTGCCGTTCTGGATCTGGGTTACGCTCGACCATGCTTTCTCCGCGAGATTTCCGTGTCTGTCGACGATGTCGACTGTGCAACGGACGCGATGCATAATCTGACGTCACGCGCCGGTGTTACGTAAAAAAAAAAAAAATATATATACATATATAGTACGCCGTGGACTGGATTAAAGGCGTGGCAACGTCACGGCGTGAATTTTAATCGGGACAAAATTGTAGAACGAACTCGTATTTCCAGTCGATACGCGATTATTCGAATGCTATAATTGCGTATAAATGTTCCGTTAAACGAATTGTACTTTGAAACAGGATAGCGACCAGATTATACATATACATGTGTACTTGTTGGGTGACAATGTGTTTCTTTTTATCTTTGTACGAGCCTTCTATTGTCAAATAAGGAAATTAATCGTCTCCGCAAGAGGGAGAACGAATCTTTTTTGTCTCGCAGCACATTAGCCTTGTATTTACGGCCATTCTAGATCTGGGCTGCGCTCGAATACGCTTTCTCCACAAGAATCCTGTGTTTGCCGACGATGCTGACTATCGGACAACATTGAGAGTACAAGCTGACGTCACGCGCAGCGTTGCGCGTGGCGTTACGTAAAAAAACGTGGCTGACGAATCAGTAATGCATCGGTCTATTACTGTTAAGGCCGTATGATAAATCAGTTGTACGGTAAAGTAACGAAGAAGGCGCGTGGATTTGTTACGATGAGGGGAAAAAAGTCGGTAACGATGTTGCAGAATTTGAAGTGAAGTTAGAAACAGCACTTTAGCTACAGCTCACTTTATCAATTACTTTTTTCTATTTTGTAACGATAAAAAATCGTTTATCGTAACTTGAAAAACTAACCAAAGATGTGGAACGAATAAGGGCACCATTTCTACCTGTACCGGCTGTACGATACATCCCTGGCTAGGATGACGCGTCGATGCAACGGACCAATGGGATTCCGATCATGTGACCATCTGTTGTTTACATCGTTTTCATTCTCTTTGTGAACGGATAATAAGTTTACGCTCTGGTTCTAACCTATACGACAACAGCCGAGAAAATAATAACTTTAGCACACGAGTCGAAAATCGTTCTACATCAGTCATTTCGATAATTATTGGAATAACGAATAAAAAATAGACAACTTGTTACTGATTAAACGAAAATTGAGAATTGAATTACATTTTATTATATTATACATTATATATAAGAAGAATTAGTCGTTTCCCTTTTCGACCACCGATGGAAAATTGATTTACTATAAATCAGCGACCAAAGGATCGCCTTCTTTCTTTACGTACCTAACTCTCACTTGCTCTTTCTCGTCGCGTCTGTCTCCCGTTCGCACGCTCGTGTGCCATTTACGAGTCAAACCGGTTTAAGCTTTTTGCGAGCCTGGCTTCGCGAAGAATGTTGATTTTTGCGTTATACACTGCTGGGAACCTAACCTACATCATTATCCGGATGAGCTGGCCGCATTTGAAGTCTCGTTTCCACACGGACCTTGGGTCCTCGTAAGATTTTATTTTTCGTCTCCATCGTTAACCCTTGGTTACTGGATGGCGCGAGTGATGGTGACACCAGCGCGCATGGCGGATGTCGGGTCAAACAAATATGATTCGAGAGTATAATTTATTTGCGCGCGTTTCAAACGATTCTTTGTTGCTGATCGTCATTTTTGATTATGATACGAGAATGCAACAATTTAGGAGAAGAAATATCGGGCGTAGAAATTCATTTCGTCCCTCTACAGGGTGTTCCAAAAATGTTGGAGGTCCTTGAAAGGGGTGGTTCGGGAGGTGATTTGAACCAACTTTTTCCTTAGCGAAAATGTTGTCCGAGGCTTCGTTGAGGAGATATTAAGAGAAAATCCCGACCAATCAGAGCGCGAGTATGCCGGTTGAGCGTAGGCTACGCGCTAGGCAGCCGCGCTCATACGCTATCGCTAGCGCTCCATCGGCATCCTCGCGCTCTGATTGGTCAGTGTTTTCCGTTAATATCTCCTCAACGAAGCCTCGGACAACATTTTCGCTAAGGAAAAAGTTGGTTCAAATCACCTCCCGAACCACCCCTTTCAAGGTGTTACAACATTTTTGGGACACCCTGTATACTTGTCATTTCAATAGATTAAAGTACCGATACTTGATATTACAGAATAATTTTGATCGTGTGTGGGTACCTTAAAGATGGGTCTCGACAGACCCGGCATCTGTCGTTCGAAGGTTAACATGAAGGGGGAATGATGCGTTCGAGGTTTATTCAAGACGAATGTCCTCGGGGCTCGTGACTCGATGAGCAACGCCACGACACGTACTTACACGTCTGGCATCAGCGAAATGACACACGTGTACGTGAGCTATGATAAAATTCAGTCACGACGAAAGAACGACTTCATGGTCGGGGACAAATTCGGCAGTGTCTCGGGGGGGATTCCGTCATTCGAGACACGAGCTATCGCCGAAAATATTTTTACTACCGAACGCGCGTGGCATGCGTCGCATTGATTAGCGTAAGTGACCATTGTTCTCACTAACCTACAGCACTGTGCTCATTATCATTTTTCATTCGTGACGGCACTGTCAACCAGTTCCAACGGCCTCTCGATAAGTCTGCGGTCGTGCACGTCAATGGTTCATGGTAAACCGCACCAGATGGAGTGCGACAAAATTGAAATTTTATTTGTTTCCATTGAGAGAAATTAGCCTCGTTAGACCTGATGTACGCTGTAATGTATTAGGTTGTCTCAAAAGTTTCTTTCGTAATTTGCACTCAATTATTTTGCGCGGTAGTGTTTATATAAATAGACAATCTAATTTCTTAGATGTTGATGGTATAACAGTAATGGAGCAAAATGAATCGTACACAATTCAATAATGTAACATTAGACATAAAATATCGCGTATGTATTACTTATTAATAAAACGAAAGAAACTTTACGGACAACCTGAGACATATACGAACTCGAGCAATGAATTTTATTTTGATGCTAGCACAACATGACACCGTAAAGGTTACAATTTCGAAGAAAAAGTGTTACGGACTACTCCTGTGTTCGATCATCTAGATTTGATTGAATTTTCCAAGAGTGGGTTTATTTTATAAACCGTACTCGATCGGAGAGAGTTAAAGAACTGCTCGCTTACTTCGTGTGTCGTAGGCTTTATCTTTCCACGAGTTGCACGCGATAAAGACCAAAATATACCAATGCTATTCGAGGAATAAACTACTTAATTACATTAAATGCTTCGCAGAGTTTATCTTGATGCGAGTACACCAACGAGCTAAACAGGTCTTACTGTCTGCGACCAGAAACCGGTTAGACGAAACTTTCGAAAATTCCAGAATGACGTAGCCCTTCTCGCGTGTGCATATGCACCGCGAAGATACACGAGCCGTGTCTCTCCCATCGTTCTTCATTTACAGTTACTTACGTAAGATACTCTTGAACCTTTTTCATGATTGTTCGACGCATGGCAATCGACTTCGTCACGTTTTGTCGTATGCAAAGAAAAGCGTGCACGTGTGTGCGTATACGCGTGTGCGTCTGAACGTTATCGCGAATTGCTCACTAGCCCATTATTACCGGAAAATTTAATTCCATAAATATACTCTCCACTTACTTCAGTCACGTAATTAAAATCATTGTTGCAGTATAATAAAAAAGACACTTAGCCGACAGGTTGCGCTTAAACGAGCGCAGGGAATATAAATATATACATATTTGCACCTCCATAAATGCGTATTAAAACATGTATGTATGGATGTATAGCAACGCAATGGATTTCGCGCGTTTCACATTGAAAAAGTGATTTATCAATTTCAAGAGGTAATTCCAGTTCGAGGAACACGTCGTTCCACTCTATTTAAAGTTATGGAAATTAAAGCTTCAACCCTGTCGTAACCACCTGACCATTTTCAATGCACACCAGTTTTAAATAATTTATATTATCGAGCAATGTAATGAAACAATAACGAAACAAACTGATATACATTACAATAAAAGAAATAATATCCATCGAAGTGCGGATACGGAGGAGTTGATGTAATGTATAATAAATGTACCCTCGTGCCGAAGAAAAAATTGACTCGCTCGATAGTTGAATTATTACCCATGGCAGACCCTTCTACCTTTCGTTTTACTACGCTTCCAAACATTTCTATTGAGTGTATTATCAGAAACACAGTACGATTTTTATAATTCTTACTTGCAGGAAAAAGTTTCTAATTATTTGATAATCAAAATATTTTAACCTCTAATTCTCACGTAAACAACTGTAATTATTCTATCGTTATAATCAAGAATTTATGAATTTATAACGAATTTATAAATTGTATAACTTTGTGAGAAATTTATCAAAAATATACATTATTTCGATTGATATTATGCCAATGTATCTTTTTGTTCAAAGAATTAATTATTTTAGCAAGTAACGCATAAATTTAAAGAGTAAGCACCACACTACATACTATACACACTATAATGATCCTACTCTTACGCCATGCCTGCTCACCTCTCAGCTTGAGGAACACAGAGCGTATGCTTGCAACTTTGCGCGAAGATATACGACATGGATTAGTGGGGTAGCTACACGTTGTGGTGGGGGTAACGTCTCATTGCCAATGACCTTGGGCGGGCAATTATTTTCGAGTAGACTTACGATTAGTCACGACTAGATAGAGAGGGACAGTGTTTCTCAAATTGTGATTTGCGAGACCCCTACGGATTCGTGAATTCTCGAAAGTGAAAACTGAACAAGTTTGTTCAATTGTTTCATATTTATCTTCGTACATATTATAGTTTTAACGGCAGTTTTAAACAAACATTTAAAAACGTAATTATTTAACTTCGATCGAGGTCCGTGGAAAGTCAAATTCGAGAAACACTGGACCAAGGTAACAAACTTAAAACATCAAAAAATGAAGTACTCACGTTTCAGCTAGAAAGTTAACGAACGTTCTGCACGACTTAAGAGGATCATTGGGACTTTGTTGTCTCTTGGTTGTTTCCCCGGAGGCGACTGTAAATAAAACAAAGAAAATTATTAAATGAAAAAGAAAAAAACCGACTGCTTGTAAACGTTTAATTGATAGACGACATACCATAACTGTAAGTACGCGGTTCGCTTGGCGTTCCACTAAGTCTTTCTTCGGTTCTAGCCGTTAATATTTCGTTGATTCTCCAATCTTGTATTTCTTTGCGCAACATCGTAATTGGATCGTCGTAATCCGTATCGTCGAAACGTTTATTATATACAGACTCCGCGTGACCTTTGTAATTTACTTTTTTCTCCTCTGTCGTTTCTTTTTGGGTGGCCATATTTGTCACGGATCGTTGTTTCATCGGGAATTTACACACCCCCTTTCCTTTCTGGCCGAGTGTTTTTTTATTTATCGAGGTCATTTTTGCTGACGATTTCTGTTTTAACTTTGCGGAATTTCGGTCTTTCGCGTAGAATTCGATGATCTACCGATCGATGAAAGATTTCGTTTGTCCCGTGGTATCTTCGTACACGCTATGGCAATCAGGATTCCATTCTGTCACCTTCTAAAAATGTGATATATCAACGATATACGAATGTACTTTAAGCTCTTTGATTTACGAAATTACAATCGAGCAACGCAAAGAATTTTGAATAACCTTGCGTTGATATTCAAATAGAAGGGTTAAGGATGCGCAGGAACCAGAGCCAAACTTCGAGTTGACTTCAGCGACAGTTGCGGAAAAAGTAGGAAACTCCGGGACA